TCTTTAAAACCTATGTTCATATTTAGATGCATTAAAACAGGGGTCCTATACCTTTTCTTCACAGACCTATGTTCCTCAGTTGGAGAAGGCAAATCACTGAAGACATAAACAATCTGTTATGCACAACTCTAGAAATGTGTGCCATTAGGCAGAATTTTCTACGGGAAATGTAGTTATATGAGGAAAATATCTGTGAGATCCCTAGAGAGAGATTGTGRGGATAAAGTGTATCATAAATTAATAGAACAATTTCTCCTTTGGAAAGCCAAAAGATATTATTAGTGATTGACTCATGTCTGAGTCTGCTTCCAGGCTGACTTTTTCAGATATTTTCACTTTCAACAAATGTAACTTTGAACATCATCAGGAAAAAAAATAGGGAAAAAAAAAAAAAAAAGCTAAGAAGGAATGTTCTTCTAAAATAGGATTTAAACTACTTTAGCTTGTACTCATGCTGGCAAATAAAATAGACTTTCATCTGTGTGGGTTTATCATGTCTGTCTATGATAAGATTTTGTACTCACGGTTTATAATATGACAGCTGGCACAGCCCTATTTTATCTCAGTTTTACCAAAAAATTCTAACAAAGTTCTGTAGGAATGTTGGCTTGGAACAAGTAGAGGTAGAAAAGTCAGAGATGCAGGTCTGAAATCCTATTTAGAGAAAATTTCCCTCTTTGACTGGTTCAGATTTACTTCAGGAACTCCTGATAGAAGTAAACCTGGATTAAAATTCTTTGATATGTTAATTCCAAAGAGTTTTGCACCCAGTTGACTCTAGTATATAAAGAAATGCCTTATCCAACAACACTGGCCTGACCAGTGTGGCCCAGGTCTTCTCAGTTCTCTGTGTGTCATGTAAGATTTTTGAAACCCCTTTTTCTCTTTGTTTCCATTGAGTTGATTTTTCATTTTTTTCCTTTCTTTTATTATTGTAACAAAACTAAGAACCACAGTACAGTAACTCAACATAAATTCACAAATCATATCATGGGCATTTTAATGAGTCTATCAATTTAAGTATATTGTACTCTGGAAAAAGTATTGTACTCTGGAAAAATGCTTGTATAGTAACTACAAGCTTACTAACTTACTAACTATTTACTAATTACTACAAGTTTGCTAAACTACATGCTTATTAATATACATACACTTAAACATATTTAGTTTAAGTGTGATTTTAGATTGCTTAAGGATACTTTAGATGGTGTTACTTAGATGAAGGTCTGTTACTGCACCTGCACAGTCTGTGTCCAGGTATGGCAATGGGGACAGTACAGTCTCCTCCTCAAAAAAAAGCTAAATGTCACTGACTGAAGTMACTAAAAAGAGGGAGATCTACACAAGAGTCAGAGTGTATCCAGAAGCTTTCATCTAAACAGGATCCCATGGGGCATAATGCTTTCTTGGCACTCTGCGTGATGGAGTGGACTGACTGGAATAATAAACTATTGAATAAACCATTCCTATGTGGAGACCCCCCCGAGGTGGGGCTTTTGTTACCATGTTGCCTGAAGCTGGACTGATACATATCTGTAGTGTATCAAACATAGGATTTTAAAATGGAATTCCGGAGCTAGTTATATGAAATAGGTACTCCTTTGCCTGTGATAGTCATTASTGCATACAGAAGTTGAAGTTGTGACAGCAGGAATCAAAATCCAAAGTCTTTCTCTTGCACTTCCAGCCCTAACAAGTCTGCTAGATCCAGGCTGCCCTTAGACTAGGTAATACAACCTGTGCACATTCATTTATAGCTGCCCAGAGTCTCAGGTTGATAAGAAGTAGCATCTATTCTCATTTAAAGCCATGGTGAGGTAATTAAGGAATTCTGAGATTTGGCTCCCTTCTCAGGCTGAACATGGACATCACATTCTGCCCGAGTACTTTTACTATTAGAGTATTATTAAAAAAAAAAAAAAAAAAAAAAGGATGGCACCATGACTTATCAGGTGTTCTTTCTAATTGTAACTTATATTGTCTGGGATCTGTAAGTCCTAAAGAAAAATAAAACTTTAAGCATGAGGAAGAGGTGCCCTTCTTTTCTGAGTAAACACTTCCTTGTATATGTGGATAGTTAAGCCCACAGGCCCCTTTGAAGCTGAGTAAGGCTAAATAAATATGGACATCTATCCCAGCACCCATCTAATATGGGTCTTGGAGAAACGGAGGAACAGATTTCTAACTACAGATGTATTTTAGATGCTTTAATTTCCAAATAGGTTTATGAGACAATTTGATCAGAGTAATCTCATATCTTTTGTTTATGAGATGACATAGTAAAAGGAAGTGGTGCAGATCTCATTTGTCTTAGAACTAGTAAAGCATTTGATGCAGTACCACACTGAAAATTGTAGGTTAAAATAGAGAAGATAGGCTTTTAGTAAAGAATGATAAAGTTGGGGAAGAACCACTTAAAGGAGAGGAATCAGTTTGTGTTGAAAGAAGGAAAGAGATGGTTAGCGTAATTCTTGAAAGTCATATTGCAAGATAGATCATGTTTAGCACTGCTTATGACCTTGGTGGGAGGAAAATAACCATAGTGAACTAATGTAATTTTTTGGTGAAAAAAATTGGGAGAAATTATGGAGGAGATGGGAGACAATACAGAAAATATAAAAATGTATCTTCAGGATGACCTTTCATATATCACCCCATCTTACATAGGATGCCTTGAAGAGTAGAACAACAGATGAGGAATTAACCTGAATAATGTATAAAAAATAGGTCATATACCTTAGGCTAAGATATAATATTAAGTGAAGAAACCTTGGAATCAATTACAAGATTAGCAGGCATCAGCAGTTAGGTGAACCCGTTAAAAGATGAAGAAAATCCTTGGGCCTATTAAGAAAATTTTGTCTGCAAACATGGAAGGGAATCGTAACACATCGACAGTACTTCATCTACGGTACTAAGAATAGTTCTGTTTACTCATTGTCAAGGTAAAAGATATAACAGAGAAAAGCTATCTGAATAATATTGGGAAGAGTGTACTGTTTTTACAAGATGACACAAAAAGACTTATTTAGCTAAATTAAGTCATAAAGGATTATGATACATTACATATAGTTGTAGCACAAAAACTGTTTAAACTAAATGACAGTTCTAGCTTAGGCATAAGTGGATGTTAAACTAGACAAGAATCTATTAGGTAACGAAGCAGAAGAGGCTTTGTAACAATCACGAGAATGAAATTTTGAAACAATATCCAGTAAAAGCACAGGGACAAGATTTGTTTTAAGGTGATTTTGATAAGCTTATTAAATCATTTAAACTATGTGGTTGTTTGCAGTGAAAGGGGATAACTCAGGAAGTTCTGAGCTCCTAAATGAACCAGCTGGTAGTGATATTTAAGATGGGCTGATTGCTTGTGTATCAGTATTCCTCCCTAACAATATGATATGAGCAATTTGTAAATTGACTGGCTGTAACGCTTTATTTTTCAGGTGATTCCTCATAATTGAGGCTGATCACTGAGTCACATCCCACATAGCTCTGTTGTTATTCTTGAAAGGTTTGTCTGGTTTTTTTTTTTTTTTTTTTTTTTTT